CAAAAGATATATATATATATATATATATATATATATCAATGTGCTCATTTTCAGTCACTTTGTAGTTCTGACTCGAACCAATATGTAATTGAATAAGTCTATTTAAGTTTATAAATATATAGATAGATAAGTCAAGGAATGCAACATATAGCTATGACCCTTTTAAATCTATTCTTTAATATTTATCCTTTGGAGGAAAGAGGGAAAAAATGAAAAACTCAATAAAAATCAGTCAATCCTGCTTGCACCTATACGCATACGATAATGAAAGGACGAGAAGCTAAACCTATAATAAATATTCATGTTTTGTGATAAATAGCTAACATTTTATTATCACATTGAAATAATTCGTTCATAATTTCAGGAAAAGGAATCAATTAACCTCAGATTTTTGAAAATAATATTTTGAATATAAATACATTAGTCAAGTGCCATATGGTCTTATCTTTACCTCATGTTCCAACGATACAGTGCCAGGGGCATCGTATCGATGGCTAAGAGGTGCAAGAAGTGGTATGGTCATCATCTTCGAGTCACCCACTTCGAGAGATTGTGTTTGTGAATCCAATGTAGATAAGTTTCTAAATGTATTGGAACGAAACTGGAAAATAGATCGTATATTTAAAGCTATCGCTATGATGAAATAAATCAGGGCCGCATGCAGGCATGCACGCGCCTTCTCAGCACTATCCCAATTACTCTTAAGCGAGATAATAGATAGGGAACTTACTTTGATGTTAAAGAGGTATGCAATTAAAAAGGCGCATACTGCGTTCAGGTAGCAGAATATTATACAAATGTTTACTCCTAGACCCATTTCTAAACACACACTAAAATACTTCGGTATTTATGTACTTTTGTTGTTATTGATTTTTATAAAGTAACCTTTTTTGCTGCACTGAAGGATAAACAATGTTGGCTTGGATGTTATCCTAATACATGTATACCACAATAAATAATTCTGAAAAAAAAATTCTTTCTCTTCTTTCAACTAATATTATAAAGTAAAATAGGTGAGAGAATAGTATAAATCATCATCTAAAGTTGATTTTTCATAATATGGGATACGTTATATATTTTTTATATTGTGTCGGCTCCTTTGAATCAAATCACAAAGTACACATTGACAAAAATATATATATGCAAAAGATGATAAAAAATTCAACGCAAATCTGAAAAGGATAGAGTTCAATAGAGTATATTTTTCTAAAATATATACACATATCATGTAGTGCATTAAGACATCCAGAGGGTAGAATAAATGAACAGGTTTATACTTTTAGTGCATTTTTTTTTAATACAATATTTTAAAATATATCACATCACACCAATGGAAGATAATACTCAAGTTAAGCCAACTATCCTGTTACATTTTCTGAGAAAAAGAACTTCATTGAATTGGGAAACATAGCACAGACACAAGATCAAAGATTTAGATCCTCATTATATCGAAGGAATCCGACAGCGCCCACGTAGCTTCAACCCAATTTTGGTGCTTAACGACGTCCTTGTGGTAGCTTCCCGTGACATTGGGGGGATATTTTCAAGTATAAAATTACCTTCTTCTATAATCAAATTGTTGGAACCGAATAAACGGCGTCGGTAGAATCGCAAAAATCGTACAATACGCGAGTGTCGAATAAATGTACTGAAATAATCAATACATCGACGAGCACGTGACAGTAGCGACCAAATACAACCGGTTAACAATAAAAAGTACGCCAAAAGGTAATAAAGACCTGCAAAAGCACATGCACGTGACTTCAAGGAATAATTCCAGTTGTGTTTTACTTTGACTAGTGCGAAGGGAATGCGTTGCTTAAATAACATCCAAGCAAAAAGAAAAGAAAGAAGAGCACTCAAAAAACATAAATATGTGATGCATAGCCAAATGAAATGCACTAAGGAACAAGATGCTAACAGGGAGGCTGGAGGCACCATGAGTAAGCGAGTGAAATCCTGCTCTTGCACACCTTGTAAGTTTGCACTGTTATTCTGTAGAGCATTCATATTGAGGTAAGCATTGAAGGGTTCAAAAGTTGTTCTAAGGCTGTTGGGGTCCATAAAGTCCGACATGCTTGATATCTTGGACATAAAATTCGTTGCCCCATGGTGCCCATAACTTGTTCCCACTGAAGACACGTAATCGTGTACGATATCACTTAGTGGTGATGAAATATGTCCTCTTATTTTTTGTGAAAAAGAAGCGACATTATCTGCAGTGAAGAGAGGCGATGTGCTATAATTACTCGTACCAGTGCTAGATACTGAATATTGGGGATGAAATAACGGAACACAATCTGAACTATGTTCTTGGCTTGAATTATTCAGCTTTTTAGAGAAAGCTTTTAGAGACATTTTATTTCGATAATCATTTATTTTTACACATTGAACATCTATAATAAAGGACAATGTTGTAGACTTCCTCTTTTAATATTTAAAAGCTTCAGTAATATAAATCAATCAATTATAAACTATTAGTCTAAGATTATATACTTTAGTTATTGGATTTGTAAAAAAAAAGAACAGTAATAGAAAATAATTAAAATTAGATCCATCAAAGAGGCAAATATTTTTATGAGCAAAAATTTTACATCAGAATCGATGGCTATAATAGCAAAATGAAAGAGAAAAATAGCTCGTAAACTGATGAAACATTTGTTGATAATGGAAATCATAATAACAATAACCAGCTTTACAAAGTTATCTGATAATGTACAAGACGTAATAATAGTATTATAAGAGTACCTATTGGTTCTATTTCTGATTTTACCTTTTCCACATTATGAAAAATGTCCAAAAAACAATATTTATCCATCAAACAAGCTAAACCAGTTTGCCACCTTTGAGCAACACCAAACCGTGTGAAACGTGGGTCTGGGGAGTCACCAGAAGCCTGTGTGAGAATAATACGAAAAAAAGGCGACAAACCGCACATGGTATCGCTATGTTTTTCAAAAACATCGACACCATTTGTGCTCCTATATGCAAACAATTTTTTGAATAATTTTAAACAATACGCGACATAAAATAGTTCTGCCAAGGCGATGGAACAGATGTAACTGGTTTCAGTGAACTACAGCCGTGCTCCGTCGAAACATCGCCAAGGGGAAGACATATATGATGACCGCGTTCTAGCAACTGCCTCGGTTCAAAAAGTGTACCGGTACTTAATAAATTTGTTCGTTCAGCCACTTCACATCCTGTCATTGTAAAAGTGTTCAGGTTCCCTTTGGTATATGGGGCATCCGAATAATGATTCTTCAGACCTATGGAGCGATTACTGTGCGAGTCGCACGGAAAACAATCATGCGTGGAAGCGCTCAACGCTTCGATTATATCTGCCTGATGAATCAACGGACACGCATCATTCATGTTTCGATAGAGATTATTATAGCGATATGCGTAATAATTGCTCCATTTCACAAACTCTTGGGCTGAAAAAGGAATCGACGTTCCTTGACAACGACACCATAAAGCCGATAATGGTGCGACGCTCTCATTGCAGTCCGCCTTTTGAGCCTCCATGCTAATAGGATCGCCATGTAAAGATGTGTTTCGAGGGTTTTCAGGTTTGCTTGCCACCTCTAAGCCATCTGAAGAACCACATCTCCCGCTGGAAGATGCCGCTGTGATTTCAAAGATTAAATCGTCCGACCATCCATACCGCAGACACAACTGAAGCTTATCGCCAGACAAAAGAAGCACTGGGCCCTTATTGTAAACAGTCTGATTAACTCGCAGCTCGAAATGAGAAGAATCCCATGGAAGCGCTATTAACTGGGGAGTTTTTGTGAAAGGTAGAGCATGGTAGAATTCTACTTTTAAAATACGTTTCTCATCACGTACAAGAACTGCCACCTCACCATCTTGCCAAACATGGTGTACATAGCCTGCTGTGTTCTCTGGAGACCCAATATACATTCGTATCGTGTAGCCATTGAAGGAGGTTGATAGCTTGTCATTTTCTAAAGTATCCATTTGAATTTTTCATTTAGGCTAATCTTCAGTAAAATATAGAAATAAAATGGAAAAGACAAAGAAAATAATGGTAAAGGTGAAAAAAAACTATTGATTCGATTGAATATAACTATTTATACACATTTGTGATAATTTCTCATTTTCCGCTACCAAAACCTTCATTTCAAACAGACACGCATTTTAGAGTAAAGGAATTGAGAATATTGTGTACATTGGGAAAACCATGAAAGTAAATATCAAAGATAAGATGCATTGTACGTACATAGATTAGTTTAATTACTGTACAGAAATGTGTCAAAATCAATGCATCAATGCAATGGAATGTAGCCCTCTCCATGAAAGATTTGTAAACAAAACAATGAGCTATCAATAAAATTTTTCATTTTGAGTGTGCCGCTTAAAGGTTCTGACGCTGCTTAGAATCACTCTTGGTTACTGGTAAACCCTTTTCCGTGGTATTCAAGGATAGAAAGGTAGAAAAGGCGTCTTTTTTT